ATCATGGAACGTCCGTAAAGCTTAGCCCTGAAGTGCTCATGAAAGGACTAGGATCTGGGACAGTGAGGGTGCTGGCACCCATCAAACTTCCACCATCAGTAATGGTGTCTGATATAGAGAGCCCACCAAGGAGTCAAGAATAAAAACATAGGTGGTTTTTAACCAAGTGAGATGGTTTGTGGCTCCTGGGTCAGTGTAGGAAGGTTGGTACCCAGAGCATGGGCATGCCCAGAGAAATGTTCAGGTCCAAGTACAAGTTGCTTCTATATAGCAATGAGACTGGTGTCTGAGATGGGAGCAAGACAGTCTAGCCAAAAACATAGGTCTAGAATATGGGCATTCCCAGAGCAGCATGGGAGGGGCTCAGGGCTATGAGAGGCGGGGAAGATGCAGTCAGGTTTCCCTTTCTATGGCTTCCAGGAAGGAACGGCTGTTGACTACTCTGTGGCAGAAGAGAATGGCGTCTTTTGAGGAGCAAGCCTTTGGGGAACACAGTGATTCCACCATACTGGACACAGCCAATGCTGAAGATCCTCCAGCCTTTCTTTTTTGTTACTCGCCATCCTGGTGTTTCCAGCGAGTATCAACAGGTCTGTAGGCGTAGATGCTCCATGTTTTCATGTGCCAGGTCAGTAGGCCTGTTGTGTTTTAGGAATTTTTTTTTACCGCATTGAATGAATCTCTCTGAAAATTACAACTTTTTTTCCCCACACCCAACATTATATTTTGGTTATTTAATGTTTTCTAATACATGTGGTTTCAAAAGTCTAGAAAAATCGAGTTTGCTGATCTGACAGATTTAGAAAATACCTTAGTTTTTTTTTTTTAAAGATTATTTTTCATAGAACTATGTATCATATGAAATATGTGTCCCATAAAGACACATGCCCATTTCACTGGTTTCAATGGCTACTGTTGTAACTTGTTTCGTTTTTCAAGACAAGGTTTCTCTGTGTAGCTTTGGTTGTCCTGAGCTTGCTTTGTAGTCCAGGCTGGCCTCAAACTCACAGAGATCCACCCCGCTTTGCCTTCCAGAGTGCTGGGATTAAAGTCATGCACCACTGTGCCTGGCTGTTCTAACATTCTTCTTTCCCCTATATCTACAATTTTCTCTCTTTGTCTGCACACATACATACATAAATATACATGGACACGCACTATCTTGTATAGTCTCCTACGCATTCATTATGAGGATGAAAATTATCTCAATAGTTATTATAGTTTTAGATAATATACCTTGAAATGCACAAATATTAGGCCAGCAATTTTGACAAATGGGAACATTGGTGTATGCCATATCTTTTTCACAACACAGACAGTTCTATTTTCCCTCATGCTCCTTTCTAGTCAACCCTCCACTTTCCAGGAAAATGCTGTTATAGTCATTTGAGGTTAGTGTTGCCTTCGGCTTCATAGGTGGAATAACAATGCATGAGCTTTTTAATTTAAAGGAGACTTTGCCAGGATGGGTTTCTCAAATGAGAACAAAAAATGACAGAGAAGAATGAAAATTATGCAGTGAATAGTAATTGAAGCAATTTTAATAATAGATTCCAAATGTGCTCAGAAAAAAAGCTGATTTATAACTTCAGTTATCCCAGCCCTGTGCTTCCGAATAGAAAAGGAGTGAATGGAACATAGCACTGAGCTCGCAGCTAAGACTTCTGGCAGCATTTGATGGTTAATTTCAGTACCAGAATTCAGCACAAAATTTATAATAGAAAAATTTTGAGGTTCTTTTTTTGACCTTAGATCAGTGCTTCTCAACCTGTGGGTCACTAGGTCAAATGACACTTTTGTAGGGGTTGCATATCAGATATTTAAATTGTGATTCATAGCAGCAGCAAAATTACAGTTATGAAGCACCAACAAAAATAATTTTATGGTTGGGGGGGTCACCGTAACATGAGGAACTATATTAAAGAATTGCAGCAATAGGAAGGTTGAGAACCACCAATTTAGATTCTATCTTATTCTGATGGAAGGTATAAAAACATTCAAATTTTCTGAAATTCAGTTCTGCTATTTAGGTGGGTTTTATGCTGCGAACAAAGAAGTCACGGCAGTGGTGATACATGGATGTTTGGGTCAGAAGAAATCACGCTTTTCACTGACTGTATAAAAATGAGGTGGCCTGTGAGAAGATCCCACTGGTCACACCGGCAGTCATGCATGGCCTGTCCGACCCCTCGAAAAGACAGCTCTTCCTCAGCCCCCTTCTTGATCTCTAGGCCTTCCGGGTTTCCCAGCTGTGCCTGGACAGCCCTTTTCGGACCTCATGTTCGGCCTGTACATAACCCAGGAACTGCTCTAGTCTTCATAGGTCATGGGACTGACCAAAGCAGGTACTTAAAAAAATCAGTCGAGATAACTGACCAGTCCACTTTGAAGAAAGTGCCAGAAACTGCTTTCTGCTCCTTGGTGGCCTGCACTGCCTTCCTGAAGTCTCCTGTGGGCACCTACAAGGCCAAACCCTAGGGAACATTTCCAATCCTCTTGCAGAATAGACACACCCCCAAGGGCAAGAAACACCACAATGTTTGAATAACAGGCTGCATTTAATAACGACTTCTCGGCAAGACCTATTCCTTTCTCAGAAGGGCAGGACAGGGAAAAAAATCTGAGTTCTGTCAAGAGTCTCCAGAATATCATATTTGACATTTAGACATATATTGTGGAAATCTATGTAACACATCAGTTAGATGGCTTATGTTTGGATCATATCGGTGGCAGAATTTTTGAAATTTGGCATCTGTGTGCGTGCATGTATACACACATTAGATGCACCACACATAATGTCATATGAACTCTGCGAGTGTGTGTGTGTGTGTGTGTGTGTGTGTATTCGAGTGCACGCGCACGTGTGTATGTGTCTTTCCAGGGATAGAAATTGAACCCCAGGCCTCATACATGCTAGCCAAACACTCTACCATTGAAGTCCATGTAAACTGAACTACATGCCTAAGCCCAGTTTTTACAATCTGAGTGTGTCCCTTCCCTATTCTCTTCTAACCCATGTAGTTTTTTATTTTTATTTTTATTTTGGAGAAAGGGTTTCATGTAGCCCAGGTTGGTCTTTAACTTACTATGTAGCTGAGGGTGACGGGCTAGTTAACCCATGTACTTGCTCCATTTCCACACACTCTGTATGGCCCTAGGACACGGCAAGGCGACTTTTAAAAAAGCACATTATTTGTGACTTTGTTGGGTTTCCTCTGTGGTTCTAAGGATAGAGCCCAGGCTCATCCACACTAGATGAGAACTTCATCACTGAGCTACAATCCCAACGGGTCACTGGGCTTTAAAACTTGGTCTGGATACTGCCCAGGTACAGCCAGTATTCAAACGCTGCATTGAAAAGATCTGAACACCAGCGTTTAGTGGAAACTATCTATTTTAGATGTAAAATGTCAAAAACGTTTCGGAGAGTCACAGTGCTCTATCTTAGTGTAAATTTAAAACATTCAAAATACTTAGGAGGTGCTGGAGAGACGGCTCAGTAGTTAGGAGTACCAGCTGTTCTTCCAGAGAACCAGGGTTCAATTCCCTGTTCCCACTTCACAGCTCACAACCCTCTGTAACTCCTATAACAGGGGCTCTGAAGTCCTCTTCTGGCCTCCATTCTACAGAATGTGCAAGCAAGACACCCATCACATAAAACCCTGATGAATCTTAATAATGCTTAAGTATAAAAATCTCATAAACTGAGTTGTGATTATTACAAAAGGACTCACAAAGAGTCTTTCTCCTGTGGCAACTCTGGGATGCTGGCTGATGCCAGCTGATGCCCTCCTTCAACCCTGAAGGAGGCTTCTCACATAGGTAGCTCTGCCAGCACGTCTTGGGAAGCAGAAAGCTGGGTGGCAGAGGTCCCACCCCAACTTTGTCTCTGACCATTGGCAGAGACATTGGGTGAGGTTACTATGAATCTCTAAACCTTTGTTCATAAAGTGACTTCGGTTTCTTTTCTTTCTTACTCTGTCTTGTCATGTTTTATTTCCTCATTTTTCTTAAAGCCACCCAAAAGTCTGTGGTAATAAGCTAACTAAGAGACTAAGCTAGCTGTTTTCAGTACTTGGAAATTGAATCAAAGTTGTCATTAAGATGTACTAAATATTTAATTAACATAAATGATTAAGATAATTCAAGAGTCACAGATGAAATGTTTGTCAGTTCAGTGAAAGGGTGATGTAGTAGGATGAAGGGAAGCTTTGAATAATCAGCAGTTCTAGGGCCATTTGAACTAAGTCCTAATACAGCTGTGCTCAAAAGCAGCTGTTCAGACCAGCTTCAGTTGCCGTCTTTCTGTGCACTTGGGACAGACTGCTGTCGGAGCAGATGCACGGATGTGAGTTATCAATGAACTCGGTGTGAATATACATCAAGACCATGAGCTGAAAGGAAGGTGTGATAGATGGAGAGCTCCGAGGGGCTGGCTAGATCGCACAGTAGCTAAACCTTCCATAAGGTCTTTAGCTAGCACAGCCCCAAAGGGGCCATCCACTACAAGGATATTCTAAATTTAGAACTCTTGATGAACTATTTTGGGCACCAGTAACGTACCAGAGTTACGAGCTTCTGTGCGTGTGCGCAGGTGCCTGACCAAGTCTTGTTACACTGTTCAGCCTGGCCTCAAACTCAGCGTCCTACCTCAGCCTCCTGTTGAGCTGAGGTTATGGTGGAAGTCCATCGTGCCTGGATCCATCAGATGAGATCGCCGTCTCTTTCCTCCATCACTCCTTATATTTATTTGCTTACTCGGTTATATATTTATTGTTTGAGACTATCATATTTGTATACAGTGAGATAAGATCGTATCAACTCGTGCCATTCCTCACACTCCCAACTAGCCCTGTATATAGCTTCCTCATCTCTTCCTCCACCTCCAGTGAACACCGTAGTTCATTGTGCGTTACAGCACACAATGTCAGATGCCCATGAGAGCTGAACATTGAGTGAGAAGACTATATGATAGAAACTCAAGGAGCAGGACACTGGGGTCAAATTCAGAACGATATAATTTATTAATTTTGCATGCAGATAACTGTACGACACACGTACACACGAGAAACTTGAGTGTTATTTAGAATACTGACATGATTTGTTGAGCGTTAGAAATTTTATTTGAAAATAGTTCAACAAATTCATTTTGAATATTAATATTCTAAAATTAAAAAATGCATTGTATCAAAATTTTGATCACTTAGAAAACTGTAAACACTGTGATTCAAGCCAGCAATTTTCTGTGCGTTGAGACACAACATGTGCTTTGAGGATAAACGTGACTTTACTTGTCTGCCAAGACTCTACCCTGCTCTCTTCTGGCTTTTTCAAGGCTTTCCAAGGTGATCATTCCTTTTGGCAGCTCCAACTTGGTCTTTTCTGTTTCTAGTATGTCTTCAGCTTCACCTTAAATAAAATGCAGAAATGTGTAAGGTGATGAAGGGACCACCAGCATTTTGTAAGAGGACCTGATTGCTGTTCCAGTGACACACTGTAACACTATGTACCCGTGACTTTAAACCTCAGAGTTTAGCATTTCTCTCAGGAGGAGGAAGGTACTACTCTAGGGAAACACAAGGATGGATTCTGAAAACCCAGCCTGAGCTGGGTGTAGTGGTACTCACCTAGACAAGAGGATCATGAGTTCAAAGTCAGCCTGGGCAACATAGGGAGTTTGTGTCTCAGAAACAATACAAAAAAGAAACAATAGACGCATGAGGAGATGAATATAACTGCCTTGATTTGACCAATATACAATACGTACATATAAGCAATTGCCAACTGACACTAAAAATAAGTAAGGTTGTCTGCAAGATGAAGAATACTTATAGAAACCCTAAGAATTCTTTCCCAAAGTTTTAAAATGTCAACATTTCCCAATTTCTGCCCTAAAGGCTCAACAGAATAGAAGGCTTAGCCTTGATTTGGCGTTTGCCAGTTTCCACGATGGACATGCTTCCACATGACCAATCTCAAGCCACAGCGGCACCCGCTGGGGCTGAGGCTGAGGCTGTTCTTTATTGCACCTGTACACTGCTTCTGTATTTGCACGATGAAGATGCAATCGATGCGAGTAATCAACGATTATATAGAATAGAAAAACAGAGACAGATGAGTTCTGAGTGTTTAATACCTTTGTTCCAAATGCAATTTAGTATTCGTCATAATTCACTTGTAACTCCTGTTTAATTTAATTTGAAATAAACAACTGTGCTGACATCCGCCAGGCAAACTTTCTAACCATTTAGCAGTCAGTTCTTAGAAGCTAGTGAGAGCAGACTCCGCACCACTGTGGTGGAAGAAGTAGAAATGCCGGTCCCCTGAATCTTAGGAAATTGGTCCTATCAGGATCTATGTAAGCCAAAGATTTATAAGGAGGGTGTGTGTGTGAGTGTGTGTGAGTGTGTATGTGTGCGCTCACTTGTATACACTCACGTGTAGAGGCCAGAGGTTGCTCTCCAGTGTCCTCAGGTATTATCTACTGTTTTTGTTTCAGTGTTTAAGACAAGATCTCAGACTGCCTGGAGCTTGCCAAGTAGCCTAGGTTGGCTAGCCAGGGAGCCCCGGAGATCTGCCCGTCTCTGTCTCCCTGCTGCTGAGATTACAAACTTGTACCACCACACACAGCTTTTCACACAGGTCCTGGGGATTGAACGGGGGCCCTCAGGCTTGCAGAGTGAGCACTTTACTGACCGAGCCATCTCCCAGCCCCAGGAGGAAATCTTGAACCGTAGATTAATCAGGACACAGAAACTCTAGTTTGAGAAGCCTTACTTTTCATGCGTTGTAGAAGCGTCCCGTAGCCCACGTCATACTGGTAGATAAAGATGAAGCTTAGTGGGAGTATAGGAGCGAGAAAGGCTGGCTTCTTTTGCTTTATTGCTCTGTTTCAGAAACAGAAAGGTGAATGTCAACAATAATCTGCTTTTTGGAACGTACGCCTTCTCGTAAGGTTCATTCATCTGAGTCTTCTATAGAAATTGACTTTCCTTGTCCAGTATACCTTCCAAGATTCTTTGGTTCTCAGTGGGAAGGATCTATGACTTGCTAATCTTACTTTGACGTCAGGGCTTAGATTTCTCCTTTTAAAGCGGACACTACCATTTGGGACCCTTGGGAATAAAGCACAGAGGCCATTCACCTTTGTGCCCTCTTTAACTTCTACACTAGAGAAAAAGACAAAAGGGATATAAGGAACTAAAGGCAGAATGCACTGTTCTGAGAGGAGCAAGCTGGGGGAGGGTCCTTTGTTTACATAAATACTCCAAGTTCAGAGTCCTACATCAGCCAACTTAACAGAGCCATGATGGCGGCAAAGACTTCCTTATTTCAGGAACTCTTCAAGTAAGTTGTAAACATACCCAGCTGTCAAAGAGATGGTTGCAATGCTAAAAAAGGTTCCAAAATATTTGAGGAATTCCCGAGACCAGGCGATCTGCACGGCCATTTGCCTTTCCCGCATCTCATTCTGCAAGGTCAGCTGCCTTTCTAGCTAAGGACAAAAGACAAAGCAGGTTACTCAGCTTTCATCCGGGAATAGTGTTACAACCTGCCTCTCCTTCTTTTGCTCTGATGCACTTTCTTTTTGTGTAAATCACAACAGACTCTGGCTAAATTGTTCTGCTGTGTAATTGTCCCTTTTGGCAGGGACGATCCTGTCACATATATGGAGGACACCGCTCCTGCTCGCTGAGGTCTTGACTGTATTTTTATGAACTCAAGCCACAAATGTGTTTCCAGCCTTTTCTGTTTCATGTTTGGAAAGATTTATGGGTCACTAAACACACACACACCTTGCTGGCTTTGTTGATCAGACTTGTATGAAAATCATTTTGCTTTTCACTCATGCTTCCTTCCAAATATACCCAAATACAAATTGACATGCTGGTCGGCACACAGTGATGAAGGGGTATTGCTTTGAGAAGTCAATAGAGATTTTTGTCATATATATATATATATATAACTATCTATGTAACTATGTATGTATGTATGTATGTATGTATGTATGGATCTATCTATCTATCTATTGCCTTCTGCCACTTTAGTCAGTATCTGTCTTGAACAGCCTAAAACACAGGACACAGTATCTGATTGGATTTAAAAAAATACACTGAAGCAGTAGCAAAATGAAAACTTAAGCCCATGATTTGAAGCATTTGGGTCTTCAGAGATAAACATGTTTTCTTCTTGGCTTTTTAATTCTAAAACCTTGACAGTACATACCATCAGCAAAGCTGGAGCTCATGATGAAAGAAAAGTAACGTGACCTGGTTTCTGGTCACGCCCTCTTTCTACCGAGGCAGGAAGTGAGAGGAGAATGGGTTTTGGTATAAGGATAAAGCTTGGCCACTCTGCCCTTCCTGGGAGTTGTAGTGCAGGAGATTGTCAAGCAAACACCAGGCCAAGCAGACCTGGGGAAATCCTCTAAACAGAGAGGATTCTGGGAGGGAGGAACCAAAGTAGAGAGACAATGGTTGCAGGGCAGATCTGGGTTCAGAGCAGGCCTGAGAGAGACATTTGGGTTAATCTCAGCTACAAAGGTGTCTGCACGGTTTCCATGACACTCGGGAAGGTTCCTAGGAGATACCTCAAAATTAGAAGCAGGTGGCATACCAGAAGGTCACTAAATCCTAGGGCCAGGAGAACTCACAGCGGACACTTGGGTAGAGAATATAAGCCAGAGGAGGCTGGAGAAGGCAGCTGGGTCTCAAGGGTCCGCAGCATTGAAAGGCGTCGAAGTCATGGCCAGACTCGCCTGGAGTGTGCTCAGTGCCCTCAGAACAAATCATCTCACATTCTCTAGGTGGCTGTACACAACAGCAGAGACGCTGCCCTCCACCAGGGATGCCTTCTCTAACGCCTGTGTCACCTGAGGTCGCCTAGGCCAAACCAAGATTGTTCCAAGGAAAAGTGGTCAGAGAAGGAGAAAGCAAGAAGGAAGTATGCCACTTTTCCTTGCCAAAACTTGCTTCTAGCAGTAGAAGTTGAGGTTCACTTTGAGTTCCGTTAAATATACGTAATATGCTTTTGTACACATGAATATTGAGTGTGTAAACCCCATCCCTGTTAGGTCACGTACTGCCCAAACTCACATAACAATGTGTACCTCCCAAAGTTATGTAAATAGAGGAATCAATAATTTGTGTTCAGATAAAAAGGCATCTAGATCAAAACAAGACACAGAAAAGCCTGACATTGGTGTCTTGAGTTGTAAACGTCTGTGGAGCTCTTCAAAGCTCCAGGAGCCATACCACCGCCACCCCCCCCTGAACAGTCATTTCCCATGTTAACTGGAGGTTAGGTCAGCATGAGTTCAGCTTACATACATCTATTTATTTATTTATTTATCTATTTATTTATTTATTTATTGTGGGAGGGTCTAGGTAGTTCTAGTGTGCAGCTGGGATTGAGAATTACTGCCTAAAGGAACTACCACAGGATAGATTTTCCTTCTCTCTCTCTCTCCCCTCCCAGTAAACATCAAGTGGATATATCAAAGGCAGTAAGCAGAGAGCTTTATGAAGATCAAAGGTAGTAAGCAGAGAGCTTTATGAAGATCGTGGGACAAAACAACACAATGTGATATGTTGTGATGAACACAGAACACTCTGTTCCTGTCATGTGAATGAACTTTATAGAAAAGAGCAACCTCGATGTATCAAGATTTTATAAACCAGCCAAGAACTCAGAGGACGCCTGAGATCAGATGAGATTGTGACAGGATCCTGTGACTGCCTGACAAACACACGGCATTAGGAAGGGAAAGAAAACTATCTAACTATGCAGAAATGGTTGTCAAATTAGAGAGGAAAAGGCCTGTACTCAACACTGGGCACTGGCTGTTCACGCTCCATCTCACAGGTGAACAGTGCTGCGCCAGGCTTGGTAGTATACACCTGTGATTCTAGAACTCAAGAGGGGACGTAGAAAGAGGAATTATAAAAAAAAAAAAAAAGAAAGAGGAATCATAGATTTGGGGCCAACTTGGGCTACATTGCCACCCTGTCTCGAGGGACAACCACACACACACACACACACACACACACACACACACACACACACACACAC